TCTATACGCAAATGCCTGTCAACAATCACACTTCGCAGGATTATGCCAAAGATTGACTCCTACCTATCTCCAACCCAGAGCGCTTCCCGTCCGGGTCGGAGTACCGCGGATATTGTCTGGTGTGGCCGGTGGCTGGCAGCCAAGGCTGAACGTTTCAAGTGGCAATGTACGGTCCTCGGAATGGATATGAGCAAGGCGTTCGACACAGTGCAGCGGGGAAGATTGGTGGAGGTAATGAAACAAATAGTTAACACAGATGAGGTACGAATGGTGGAGATGTTGTTGCACAACACAAGGCTAAGAGTGAAGATAAAGAATGCGCTCTCGGCAGAATTTCCAACATCAATAGGCATCCCACAAGGAGATAGTTTGTCGCCGGTGCTATTCACCTGTTATCTCGAAGCGACAATGCGTTGCCTGCGTCCCAGGATATCGCCAAGACCTGCCATACTGAATATTGGAGGGACAGCCTACACGACTGTCGATATGTCCATACCTTGCGAAACAGCATACATGGACGACGTTAACCTGTACTCCACGGACCGTCAACATCTAGCGTGCGCACTAACAGAGGCAGAGGTAGTGTTCAAAGAGTGGAACCTCAACATCAACCCTACCAAGACCGAGTGGACCCATCTATACCAAGAAGAGGATGTTGCAAGAAGAGGTGAGGAACGATGGAGGTCCACCCGGTTGCTTGGTTCACTGTACGGAGTCACAGAAGACCTCAAGCGCCGGCGCCAGCAAGCCGCAGCTGCCTTCAACACACTTGTCAACCTGTGGATGCGGAGACAAGTTATCTCTGAAGCAACCCGCCTGAGGTTGTTTGATGCATTTGTGCTATCTATTTTGACCTACAACTGCGGCGTGTGGGTGCTTTCATCCCGGGATGCTACAGCAATGGATGCGTTCCACAGAAAGCAGCTCCGCCGTCTATTAGGGATATCTTACCCGGAAATTATCTCCAACACAGACCTATATGCCCGCTGCAATGCCGAGCCAATATCCGTACTAAGCAGAAGAGCACGGTGGAAACTGTTTGGTCATATTCTACGCCTCCCTGAAGCAACTCCAGCGCAGGTGAGCATGACAGCGTATTTCCAGCGACAGAATCGGGGCTGGCTCGGACGCCCGCGCATCACCCTACCAGTGGTGATAGACAACGAATTAGCTAAGGCAACGTCCATGCGTCTCCGGAGTCTGAAGGACCTGGAGACACTGCGTTTGGTGGCTCGGAACAGGCAATCATTCAACGATATAATCGCACAGGTCACATTGTAGAGTGCAGATCACCTAGTGCTTTCAACAATAATAACGTACTTCCACATTATGGGAATTTGGTATAACCCCACACCCGTCATTGTTGAATATTCGATAATAGCGTGGATTTCCCCAACATTAATTATATTTTCATTTTTTGTTATCCTCTCCCATGCCGTTGTACATAAGCGGCTTGCCGCGGATATGTCAATACTACTCATATGTCAATACTGCTACACATAATTGGAGTGATATATTTCTGAACTTCTTTTCCTTATATTTGTAGTCTTTTAGCTTATTTCCATCATTCCCTGTAGTATTTTGACAACAAGGGAACGAAAACGTTCAATACTTTGACACATGTCCTAATTGGCTGGTGGTGACTCTTGCGTAGATGCATGCGTAGATAATACATTTTTTGTAATATTTTCTGCCTCCGTCCTACTTTCAAATAATAATAATAATAATTGTAGTTAGACCGCTTTGTCAAATATCCTACTGGTCTCGTCATCGTCCAGTAACAATCAACATTCTTTGTTCCGTTGGGACTGTAGCTTTTGCTCGTTTTCGTTTCGCTTGCCTTCCCCTCTTTGGTCTTTCCATAACCTTGAACCTTCCAAGTTGGAAGGCTGTCGGTTAGCGCTACGGAGATGTGTTTAAGCTAGGTGTCAGGACGTCGAATGTCTCAGTACTCTGTCAGTTTTGTGCCTAGTTATTGCACTTTCTGACTGTATAAAGTATCATGTTACAGTGATGGAGAGTTACTCTTAACTCGTATCCATAATGTATTTTCCTTTCTACATTTATTTATGGGTCAACATCCGAGTTTGAAATAATAATACAGGTCGCATATCTCCCAAATAATGGGTTCCACGCATCTGTCCACTGTTTCATCATGAAATAGATTGCAGCAGGAAGAATAGCATACGAAAAAATCATATACAGGTTCTAGCACATGACAAGTACATGTCTTTTTTTTTACACCGATGTACATTTGTCAATGAAGTCCATCCATAGCTTTTTGTCCCGTGCAGTGTTGAGGCAATCCTCGAGCGTGTGTCCCAGAGGGGAGATGTCGGATTTCACCACATCAATCCACCGAAGCATTGGTCGTCCTCGTGGACGCTTGATCTTTGACGTGTCGATGGCCATGGCTAGCGCGCCATGACTTAATGATGTATGATTTAACAAGCAGGTTAACTGTCAGTCTAGATTTTATGCGCAGATGGAGAAAAAAAGCGCAGAATGTTTGTAATGAGATGAAAAGCACAAATAAGAAGAAAAGATGAAATGAAAGCCTGCTCACAACCTCGCCCAGCCTTGTGAACTGGGAATGGTGGATTAAGAACCCGGGTTCGACGCTCGAGCAAGCGCTCTCCACTCAAGGTGTTCACAGCAACTGATAGGAACTCATATGGGGAAATGATAGAATAAAGAGAATAAATTTCAACGCACCTCAATAAATGGAGTTCCACATACAGTACCTCAGAAAAGTGGATCTTCCGACCGATGTTTTGTTGACGTTGCAACCAGATGATGTGGCTGCTTCGCGGAGACGTCTTACTGCACAAATTACAAATAAATAATATTCTTCTATTAGAAAACCCAAGCACTTTCAGAGCAGTCCGAAGTGAGTCCGGGATGAAACCACCCACACACACCTCAACCGAAAAAGAAACGACCTGCCACCCGTATGCCCGGCATTAATCGGCCAGATCCGCATACCACCTGTCCTTTCCGCGAGTTACTGCCACTGAATCTGTCCTCAGCACAAACTGTCAACTCCATCAAAGAATACAATCCTACGACTCGTAGAGTACAGAACTATATCTGGACTTAGGGTGGTAAGTGCAACACAGCTAGGGAAAGACATCTTTGCACTAACCGAGTCGACAAGAAGTTTCCAGTCTGAAGCAGCTGACAGGAGATCAGTCGCATCCAACTTTCCTCTGGGCTGAACGTGAACTGGTTTCTCTCTCGCCTTGCAAAACGAGATGAAGTCAAGGTCATTTGAATTTTCGGTTTGTACGGTGTTTGCAGCAGCGCGCATTCGAATCTCCTCACGCATGATTCTGACGATGACCCCGAGTACGTTGTCATGCCTCCAGGTGTATTGTTGTTGTTGTTGTTGTTTTTTATTTGAATTCGCAATACCAAACGGGCAATAAGCCCAATTACATGGAAGCGAATAAAAGAATGCTAAGAATGAGGCATTGGGGTGGATGTTATTTCAAGTGGAAAATACTGATCCCGGGAGGTACTACAAATAGGTACAATGAAAATCTCAAAAGGCCATGGTACTGTCGTTTACCATGCTGGAAGCAGCTACATGGAGAAGGAAAAACAACAAGAAAGACGTTTTATCTCATGTATTGGGCAAACAGAGCTAACAGGAAAAGACCGTTCGTTATATGCCTATACATACTGTCCGTGTGTGTATTGTATTGCTTTTATTAATTACATTGAAAGTCAAACGAGCAATCATGCCCAATGTTATGATGACGATGGAAAGGGAGAAAAGATTTAGAACAAGATTAGTTATCCTGGATTATGGGGAGTGAAGAAAACAGTGAGTCTACTTCGAAGTAGGAATCTCCTTACATCATCTTAATATTGGTCATGACAGTAAATTTTCAATAGACGTGAGAGTTGAGATGTGCTAGGGCAGGACAAGTAGAGGGGAATCTGCTGTAGATCTGCTTGGTATGTCATTTGCTGGCTTGTATTGTGGATTTTTCGTTCTTAGCAGGGACTGGAGGTTTCCTCTGGTGAGAAGACAGAATTACGCACGCTCTAAATAAATTCAAACATGTCAGTCATCGCCCTCTCCGATTGTTCCCATTGTATGTTTACTGTGAATTCATAGGTCCTTTTGTAATCTGCTGTAGATCTGCTTGGTATGTCATTTGCTACCTTGTATTGTGGATTAGTTGCTGTTGTTGTTAGATGTTTGTGGTGTTTGTTTGTATACTATATTGAAATTCGCAAATCCAAACGAGCACAAATGCTCAATGACAAGGTAGCGAATATGTTATTGTGTCACAGGGAAGGAGGGTTGGGGAGAAAATAATGAGAAAGAACAGAGAATGGTAGATATCTCAATGAAGAGCGAAGCTTTATCAAAACTACAAGTAAAGCCAGCGAATGACGGTTCTGTAACCCGCCTCATAAGACACTCCTGAAACCAGGTACTAACTGTTATTGAGAGTACTTGCTACTGTAATAGGTAGCCGCCGAGTGGAGGCACGGTGCTGAACTCTTATTAATTTTTTCCATTCTTCCTCAGGTGCACACCTGGATTAGTATGTAATAAAAATTAATATCTTATATGGAAAGAGAAATGTGCAGCCGCTTTTATAGGCAAAAGACCACATACGCTAACGTACGGGGATACGCTAACACTCGGATACGCTACAATCAAGCAAAGCAGGGATACTACACTACTAATATGTGAAGCTGGTTTGTTGCTTCCATGTTTGTGGATCCTTCTGTTGAAGCAGAAGTATTGAGCCATCTATTGGCAAGTATTGAGCACACTATTGGACAGCCTGGAACATATCTGTTTTTAGGAGGCGAAGGTGTATATGTGCTCATTTTTGAGGAGATGGCACTGTATTTCGTCTTCTTGAGATGGCACTGTATTTCGTCTTCTTGAGATGGCACTGTATTTCGTCTTCTTGAGATGGCACTGTATTTCGTCTTCTTGAGATGGCAATGTATTTCGTCTTCTTTGCTTGCAGATACCTTAACGGGAATAAAATCACCTCTTTACCCCCCGGAGTTTTCAGTCAAATAACCAACTTACAAACGTTGTAAGTTTAGAAGGGGGAAGAGATTAATATCATTACATCCATGCATCGCTTAGTAATTGCATGTTTGGAGAAGTAACGTTTCTCCGCGCTCTTCCTCGGGAGAGCAAACAGTTCAAAGTTATTAAATGGAGAGAAGGAGGGAATAGAGCGAGGGATGAGAGCGCACGGACGCCCCGTGTTGAGTCGCGACTGGCAGCTGTTCGGCTGGTTAGTCACCCGGAGCTCCGTCAACATTGAGCTAATGCGAGCGCTTGGCCGAGGTTCCGCTGACTGGTTGGCGGCGACTAACCGAGCTCGACGACGAGCACGGCCTCAATAAGGGAACTGCTACCCCAACACTGGTAACACAACGGCTGCATAATGTTGAAGTTTGCCTTGTTCGTCCTGCCAATGTGTCATGCAAGTAATGTCTTTTTCCTGAACGTTCGAACCTTTTCAAAATTAATTGTCTGTGCATGTGCAAAATATTGATTTACCTATGTTGTTTAGTTTTCGACTACGTGGTTCTCGGCTGTAGTTTATAAGCAGAATTGTACTATCATGTACATTTTTTTTACTATTATTCACAAACCCAACTCGTAAAATAAATAATTATGTGTACAAAAACAGACAGCTGCCGAGTAGGGGCTGCACTGGGCAGTAGTGATGGTGAGGTGCCAGGGGCTCCACCCACCAAAAGTCTTGGCTTCAATGCCACAAGCACGCACCAGGAAAAAAAAACAGAAATGTAAAACAAAGCTAGATCTAGCTATGGGGAAGTAGAATGGGTAAAAGTGCCGGTTGATGTTGAGAAAAATAAAAACAAGATAAAAAGAGATTGTAAATTATCAGCGTTTGGACTGGTGTACCATGTACATGTATGCAAAACACAGCTGAGCACTCTGAGCAAGGCCAGGTGCGCGGATTAGCGGGTCCGGCAAGTGACGAGCTCGAAAAATTACAGGGAATCTGTTGCCCAGTACCAGTTGCTGTCTCTCAGGTTTCGGTAGACCTTTGTCTTGAATGACTGAAAACGTGTTTTGTGTGGGCGCTGCGACAGCAGCTTGTCAGGAAGGGAGTTTCATGCCAATAAAGCAGTAGGGGAACAACCGCTTCACGACGGATGGAGCTGAGACAGAGAGCGTGTCTGACAGTTGATAGGTGTGGCTAGTGGCATTATTGTGCTCGTTCCTGGTTCTGGGGTTGGCTGGAGAATCGCGATGCGGTGGCAATACAGCAAGTAGCTGAGGAGGACCAGTGATGAAATGCAATTTGCCCATGCACGAGAGAGCAGCAACAGTCCGGCGGACAGCCAGACTGTTGAGAATTGCACCAGGGCCAATGGTGCGCAGTGCGCAGCGTTGAACATTATCCAGACGTTGGATGTGGCTGGCTGGCACACTTGGCAGTTTACACTACAACTGCCAAATTGTCACCTTCTCATTGTTCTCATCTTTGATACTCTTACACATGCACAGTCTGTTCACACCTTGACACTGCAGGCTCATTCCTGTTGCACCTTCTGATTGGTTCCAAGTTGTGTTCTACCCTATATAATCTGATGCATGGCATGTTTTGTTTGTCTTTCACTTGGAACTACATTGGTAAGTTGGAACTGTTACATTGGTAGCAGAATTTGGTTCCTCTCCTCTTGGAGGCTCTGTTGTTCCTCGCTTTGTTCTGTTTTGTTACCCTATAAATATTTCTAGAAACCTCTAATGCCCTAACTATCCCTAAATACCATAAGTGACATCAGATCTTATCTTGCTAAAATTCAACTCAAGTCGTGTTATTATGGGAAGTGCAGTTTTCGAAATGCCAAAAACATTTCCAAGTACGAATCAAGTAGTTGGGGCACGACACCGTCTTCTGTTCACACTAAAAATGCATCCCCGCCTATGCCTGTCTACGGTATGAAAGGTTGAACTGATCCCACTCTTCCCATTGCTTCCAGATCCGTACGGCAGTACAGTTGCATTCCCGTTCCTTGTGTTCACATTGGACGCCGTCAGATTGTCCCTTTGCGTCCCGTAGATCCTTACGTCTCGCCTCGCCGGTCGAATGTGAACTAGGCTTGTTTTGTTTGTTTTCTTTATTTGAATTCGCTAAAACCAAACGGACAGAACTGTTCAGTGACAAGGGAACGAATGATAAGCGTAACAATCAATATATCTAAACATCTCGGGGCAAAATGAGACAGACTAGAAGGAGGGTTTGCACAACACTAGTACATAGAGGGGAGTACGAGAACAAATGCGCGGCAGAAGTCTAAGCAATCAACGCCAGAGATGTTTTGTGCACCAAAAACAGAGAGAAAGAGAGAGAGAGTGAGAGTGAGGATAGAGAGAGAGAGAGAGAGAGAGAGAGAGTGAGAGTGAGAGTGAGAGTGAGATAGAGACAGAGAGAGAGAGGGGGGGGGAGAGGGAGAGGGAGGGGAGAGGGAGAGGGAGAGGGAGAGGGAGAGGGAGAGGGAGAGGGAGAGGGAGAGGGAGAGGGAGAGGGAGGAAGAGAGAGAGAGAAAGATAGAGAAAGAGGTAAAGAGAGAGAGAGAGATTAAGTTACATTGATAAAGACAGGTAAGTCTAACAAATGAGGACCGAGATCTCTACAACAGGGTTTTTACGCCTGACAGCAGGTGTATGATTTAATAATAATAATAATAATGTAGAAAGGAAAAGGACATATGGACACGAGTTAAGAGTAACTCTCCATCACTGTAACTGGATACTATATACAGTCAGAAAGTGCAATAACTAGGCACAAAACTGACAGAGTACTGAGACGTTCGAATGCTGCTTCGAATTGTAGTTAGACCGCTTTGTCAAATATCCTACTGGTCTCGTCATCGTCCAGTAACAATCGACATTCTTTGTTCCGTTGGGACTGTAGCTTTTGCTCGTCTTCGTTGCGCTTGCCTTCCCCTCTTTGGTCTTTCCATAACCTTGAACCTTCCAAGTTGGAAGGCTGTCGGTTAGCGCTACGGAGATGTGTTGAAGCTAGGTGTCAGGACGTCGAATGTCTCAGTACTCTTGTCAGTTTTGTGCCTAGTTATTGCACTTTCTGACTGTATATAGTATTCAGTTACAGTGATGGAGAGTTACTCTTAACTCGTGTCCATATGTCCATTTCCTTTCTACACATGTTTATGGCTCAACATCCGAGTTTCAAAATAATAATAATAATAATTCCCCTATTTCTTGTCCCTTTGGTTTTTGGCTTTTTATTTTTTTCACTTTCTTTTTGCTGTCCCACCCATGGAAATATTTCCCGGTGGGTCTGGCTTATCGCCTTAGAAAGAAGTGAATAAAGGAGACATAATAATACAGGTCGCATGTCTCCCAAATAATGGGTTCCACGCATCTGTCAACTGTTTCATCATGAAAATGATTGCAGCAGGAAGAATAGCATACGAAAAAACCATAATACAGGTTCTAGCACATGACAAGTACATTATTTTACACCGATGTACATTTGTCAATGAAGTCCAGCCAATTAAATAATTGAGCCCCGGCCAGCGAAAACCAGCACTTGTGTACTTGATATCAATCATCAAAATGTGACGTTAAAGTTTGGGACGCGCAGTGAGCTGGCTTTTGAAGATTCTTTTTCGATCGAGTGGGTGTCTTTGTTGTCAAATGAGTTTCAAGTGTCTTCAAATGAGTCTGGCTAATTGATTTTAGCGCTAGGTGAGAGCTCGTCACACGGAGGTTGAGTTTAGACACAGCGATGGCGACAGGTGTCGCGACAAAGACTTAGTTCCAGAGTTGTCAGCGTGAGACTCCCTGTACGAAGCGGCGCAGAAAGTTAGTTCGCGATCGGAATTATTTCTTTGGTGGCGATCTCGCTGAGTTTGTCTAGCAGTGGTGAGTCTCATATGCATAGCAACGAAAAGCCCTCATAAAATCGACACTGGATACTGGTGGCGACGATAGTCAGTGCTGGAGTAATAGCGACTGCGAGGAGAAGATGAATGTCGACCCGCTGAGCGATCCGTATTTCTAAATCGACAACAATGATGTTGCAGACACTGATGGAGGGCTTCTCACAGCGCAAAACAGAGCGTAGTATTATCAGTACTCTACCTTGCCAGACGACACCAAGCTGGCTGCTGCCTGTGCTGAGAAAGGGGATCCCTAAAAACTCAAACCGGCTGAACGCTTTGGGGCAACATCTTCACGTGCTACAAAACGCGAGTATTCGCTCATATCATTGAAATTCAATTATGCTGAAATCATGGTCTGAGTGAAAGTGTGCAAGGGAGTGGATGTCAGTGGTATGGTCAGTACATCTATCAGTATGGCAAGCTTTGGGACAATGCTCAAACTGCCAGCACAGACAATTGAACACAATTTGGAAGGCCAGCCACCAATCATCGTTTTGCACTCTGGTGTTGTAAAGAAGGTAGTGATGTATACGGAATATCGTCACACTTCTGAACTACTCATGCCTGCAGCACCAAGAGGGCAAGCCTGACTTGCATTCTATTTACTTACATGTACCTGTTCCACATCACAATCAGAAAATGTAGGATCAACTTGCATGGAGTCACTAGGCATGGATGCTGCGCCAACTGTACGGAATCTTGACCTGTGTGACTTCAAACTCTATTTTCCATGCTTTCGCTTATCAGATTGTCACCAAACTTGATAACTTGAATGATCAATAGTGTAGAAACAATTTCGAGGGAAACAATTTTTTTGGAAAAAATTACACATGTTCAGGTTTCTGCTGGCTGGGGCTCGCCATAGCTTTTTGTCCCGTGCAGTATTGAGGCAATCTTCGAGCGTGTGTCCGAGAGGGGAGATGTCGGATTTCACCACATCAATCCACCGAAGCCTTGTTCGTCCTTGTTGTGAACCCTCTGGTTCTCTAAAGTGTCAGGAACGAACGACCCCACACAGCACAAGGAAACCTATTTATTCTCAACAGTATAGTTCACTTCCATCGACTAATAACAATGAACAATGAATGAATGAATAACTAACACTAAAACCACCAGGTAGTTATAGCGTGAAAATGGC